ATCCATCCATCCATCCATCCATCCATCCATCCATCCATCCATCCATCCATCCATCCATCCATCCATCCATCCATCCATCCATCCAATAAACAGGATTCAACAATACAGTTTTTGTAATCTTGTTTTATATAATTTGGAGCTTTACTAGGTTTTTTACAGTCTCAAACAGTCTGAAGTAATTTGACATCTAGTTCCCTGATTTTCTAAGTATAAAACAAATGGAGTACAAATTAGCCTGATTGTTTCATGAAACATAAAACAGTGTGTTGTTATGTTGATTGCCTCACCTTATCTTACCTTGGACATTGTTGATCTTTTGAGTTCAAATGAGTAACCTGATTGGTATAGAAATGTGTTGTTCAGATCGTAAGTTTCATGGGTAGAAGCCTTGGAGGCTTTATCGAGTTGAACTTGGTGTCTTGGTTTGCATAAAACAGCAGGGCAGCCTGTTCCCAACAATGTCAACTCTATTTCTTCTGAGACACCTGAAGAAATAAGGGGAATCAGTTTTAAGGAGAAGTTAAATTGAAAAAAATATGACTTTGAGGCTGTTATGACTGTTTATGCTTCTGAGAGGAGTATTAATGTAAATATGAATTGTTTCATTTGCCATCCATACTTAATAAGTATTAAAATACATTTCAATAATAATCTCTATGTTATATATGGCAGGGGTTGATTTAACATTAGGCAAAACTAGGCAATTGCCTTGGGCCCCAAGTTCCTGGGGGGCCCCATGAAACTCCTTTTACATGTATGGTTATTACAGCTATTACTTATTTGTGCAGAATAATTATATTTTTGATAAAAACCCTTCTGCTAAAATGCCATCAGAAAACTTATAATATCAATAGTGTCTTATGCCCATGTCCAAACCAACTCTTTTGGCTAACTAGTGTTGTCAATTGATAATTTGTCCTTCCTCTGTGTTGTTGTTTCGGCTCATATCCTGGATGCAGGAACTTCTGATGTCCAAACTCACTGGAAGCTCGGAATCCTCATTTCTCACAGTCAATTTTGATGTCAGTCCAGAGTGTGTTGATTCCACTGCCTCCTTCAACCCGCTCCTGCAGTATGACCATATTGGCAAGAAGAAGCTGGATCAGGTTTGTTTGGCAGCTTAAGCTTTTTAATAATTTTTTTGTAGCACTAAAACACTTCATAATATGTTTTTCTCTTTATTTCTTTTATGAATTATTTCACTATTCAAGTCAGCTTCAACATTTCACTCCTTTGTCATTGCATCAGTCATTTAACTTTAACCAAGGACAGATGCTTAATGTTGAAGGTTAGGATCTGTTCATTGCTTATTGAACTATAGCACTCTCTGAGCTTTTTAGCTCATTCATATTTCCCAAAGGTTGCTGCCTTTTACTGGCATGGCCCTTTTTGCTGACAGAAAGAAAAGAAAGCTGAAAAAGTTGGAAATATGGAGGTTTTTTTCTTTTCATAAAAATAGTAAAGGTGGATTTCTATCTAACGGAGCAATTTGTTTGAGCTTTGAAATGTGTTCTACAGTATATTTGGAAATCCATCCTCAGTGGTGCCAACATGATGTTCAGTTTCCGTTTTTAAACCCCTTTTTCTACATTTTGTCCTTTTACCCCCACAGACTACGATGCAATGTAATGAGATTATTTTATGCCATAATCAGCATAATGTAACAAATTATTACAAAACACTTCAGCTAAAGCTGGAAAAAATCTTTAAAAAGGATGAAAAGTTATATATTTTCCAAAGATAACAATGTAAACTACATTGTAGCACATTTTCAATCCCCTTTACTCTGATACTCCCCAGTGCATTCAATTCAGCCTCTGGTCTTTGTGATTTTACCTACAAAATAAGGGGGGGGGGGCATCAACAGGAAAACCTGTTGGAGGCTTCAAGAGATTGCAGAAGCTTCATTTTCAAAATTGATTGAATATCTGGATCCATGGTTCTGTTTTCCTTTTCTGTTCCTGTTCTGTCGTCTTAAACCCCCCAGTCAGCCTTGACAGAAGACCAATCACAGTGAGACTGGTTCTTTTTCTATCTAATAACAGGGAGTTTTTCCTCCCCACTGTTGCAATGTGCATGTTTGCTATGAGTAATTGCTGCCAGGTCAGGTCAAAGAAACAATGTAAGAAAATGTCCTCTGTGCTCATCCAGGAAGAGAGACTTCAGTAAGTCAGTTAACCTGGGAAACCAGACTGACTGTGTAGAACTCTTGGTTTAGTTCCACACATCATTAATCTGGGACTATTTCAGTCAAATCTGTTTAGGGGAAAGGGGAGACATTCAGCAGAACTTTCTGAACTGATTAGGTTAAGCAACACCTAGTCCCCGCCTACTGAGATTTAATTTTAACGATCACAGCAACAAATTAAAATGTCGTTAGCAGCAGGCACAATAGAAACAACCACAACTTAAACTTCTAACACCCTCCCTGCTCATGATTTAGAGATAACATTGTGGTTTCTGACAAAACAGATGTTATATCAGCAGATATGCGTGTGTCTTCCTGTGCTGCCATGTTTATTTTGCTTCAGCTGTGGGCTCGGCAGAAATTGCTTCCTTTCATCTACTGATGCATTTCAAAAGCATGACGTCATAACCATTCTACCTTATGAACTCCATGTTGAGATCCAAACACTTTGCTTAGCTCTGAGGCGCTTCCCCTCTGACCAGAATGGATTATTCTCATTTAAATCCCAGTGAGCTTAAACAACACACAGAGAAAATCAGCGTTATTTGACACAGTCCATACAAAGGGTTCGAATCTGGCCTGTGGTCCTTTCCCGCATGTCTCTCCCCCTCTCTGATAACCCCTTTTCTGTCACCCTTCTGTCAAAAAAACGAACCACTAAAACCTGTCCTCATACTCTGGCGGAAAGCGTAAAAAATTGTTCAACACATTAAATCCAGCAGCCTAAGCTAGCTTTCCTAACTTGTTTTGACACTCGCCTGATATGAAATGTACACTGGACAGACGGCTACCTGCAGCCCCCATCCAGTCAGCCATTCTGATCGCTGACAGCCAACTCCGATGACGTACATTCTCTTTAGGTAAGCGGTAATAATAATTATTTTGGTAACCTGTTTTATTGCCACACACTGCAAAAATTATCTCAAAATGAGTAAAAATGTCTTAAATTAAGGGTATTTACCCTTAATTTGAGCAGGTAAATAAGATGATTTGCCAATGGAATGAGTTTTTTTTAGTAAAATAAGGTATCTAGATAAAATGCCCTTGAAATAAGACAATGCAATTGTTTTTTCTCATTTTAAGTGTAAATTGTCTTGTTCCATTGGCAAAGGGTCTCACTTAAATCCTTAATTCAAGAAAAAATGCACTTATTTTAAGAAGAAATTACTTATTTAGATTTATTTTTTTTGCTGTGCGCCTGACTGCACAGCATACGGAAGGCATTTTTTTACGCTCAGGGGACCAGAGCAAGTAGACTTTATGGTTGCCGCTAGATTTGAACGTCTGGGACATCCACTGCAAGGCATCTATATGTCCTGCCTTGAATCATGATTCTGCTGCGTGATTAGCTCACCTGTTTTGGGATGGTCTAAACGGGTGAAACAGTAGCGAAAAAAGATGGATTCTTGTGTGTTTGTGAACAGACAAAAAAACAGAAGAATTCAGCTTGTAGGCAAGGTTATAACTCAGTGACTTGATGCAATCTCCTAGGTTTACTTTTATAAGACACTTTTTAATCAATCTCTCTGTATTATTTTATTGACTTTATAAAGTGCCTTGAGGTGACATGAATTTGTGTTTTATAAATATATTAAACTGGATAATATCAAATAATTTTCATTTGCAATAATGTCCTGTTGTGGTTTGAAAGTTCAGACTTATGTAATTGCTGTACCAAAACACTCACCATTGATTCCGACTAAGCTACAACTATTTTACTAAAAGGAATGATCCAAATATCAATCGGTAAATCTAAAAAGCTTGTTGAAAAAAAGACCTACAGATTTACACACTCCATAAAATCCATTGCAAATGACATAAGATATAGGCTTAATTATAAAACATGCATAACAGCTTTTCTTTAAGCCACTTTATTTAGCTTACTGTATGATCCTATTTAAGGCGATATGTCCTAGCTACACGTAACATTGGTTGTTTTTCTGTTTTAGCTCTCTAAAAATACAGTTAAAGCCAAAGAAAACAATTAATGAGGTGCTTCCCTAACAGATGTTATCATGCTGCTAAATATATTTTTAAAGTCTGCTATTATTTATATCCTAGCTGTTCTCATTGCTTTTGTTTTTAAAGACCAGGCATGCTTTAATCTTAAGACTTGGCCCATTTTAGGCTTATCGCAAGAGGCTGCATAGCTTTGCATAGAAACACCCTATTAAGGGAATGATTAAAATGCCTTTGCTGCCTCAGGTGCCAGTGTTGTTTGTCAAGTAAAATGGAAGGAGGAGAAAACCAGTTACACCCATCAATCAACCACAAGAGGAAGAATTAAAATGGATGGATGGATGGATGGATGGATGGATGGATGGATGGATGGATGGATGGATGGATGGATGGATGGATGGATGGATGGATGGAT